AGCAGGGCGCCGGCGATGGAGCCCAGCACGATGCCGACCACGACGCCCGGCGGCAGGGAGGAGTCGAGGTCGCCGTAGGCCGTGGGGATGAAGGCGTCTGTCGGCGTTGGGGTGGGCGCGGCGGGGGCGGTTTTGCGCGGCGCGTGGAGCGCCGGCATCTTTGCTGGTGGCCGGGGGGGGAAGGGGAAAAGGGAAAAGATGCGAGGTGAGGGTTTTTTCTTTTCCCCCGTCATCCCATTGTTTGGGGAAGGGGGAGGGGGCGATGGCGTCCCTTTTTGACGGACGGGCTCGGGAGGGGGGAGGACAAAGACGAGGCTGCTGGTGTCAATGCATTGGGGTGGTTTCTGGTTTCCGACGTTGCGTGTGTAATCCTGATGGCGCGGGCGCTTTGTTTGGTCGGCGGTCATTGATGTGCGGGGACGGCAATGCGGCCTGTTGACATTGACCTCTTTTTATTTTTATTCTTTTGTTGTTTTGGGATTCTGAGATGAAACAAGGTGGTTAGGCGGGCGTCTTTTTTCGTACTATCATGTAACTGATACTTGGGGTAATCAGCGCCTGGGTACAAGTGTGCTCTGCGCATTGCCGGGGAAATTGGTGCTTTGCCTGTTTGAAAGAGCACAGGCCAGCCCCCGAAGCATCTGATTGGCTCGAGGGGCCATAGTCCTCGGTAACTGGTCGATACAACGTGGCTTGGGCTGCCCACGTGCAAATAAATAACATCGTGAAATCACATCGCGATGGCGCTGCGTTCACGCTGCGGCTCCCGACTCGCGTTGCTTCTCGCCGAGTCGTCCTGGGCCTGTCAGAATTTGCCCTGGTTCTTGGCGAGGTGCTCGAATTCAGCTCCGTGTCAGCATTACGCCGTCTCACTCCACACAAAGCCCATCCCCCACCCGTAAGCCAACGGGTTTATAAGCTACTTCAGCATCTGTTTCTTTCACCTGCGGTCATAGATTAGCTGGGAGATCGTCAGACTGAAGTCCAGGCTTCAATCCTACGGATGCCTATCTGAAGGTCGTGTGTTCAAGTCACACTGACCGCACATCTTTCTTTTTGTCTCTTCCCTTGGGGACTGACGGGGGGTCTTCGTTTATGAAACTTTTGTTTTAAAAAAAAAAAAAAAAACTTTTAATTTTATTAGAGCCTACTTTATGTGGGTTGCCGTCTTTCTATTTGTTTGTGTTTTCTGGCCAACAATAAGCAATCAAGCTCGCTGCCCTTAACAACCATCTCCCAATCTGGGTTTGCCAAATTTTCATGAGACAGGTAACAATGAGATGCATTTGCTCAATATCGGAACCAGAGATTATTTCGTCATGCCAGTCTATTCGGCCAAGTGTTTACTGCTCCCAAACAACAAAAGCCTAGGCACTACAGCATCACTGCCAACGCGCCGGTACTAACTCCTAGAGCGACAAACATGGTGGTAAGGATATCCATGCTAGACCACAAGGAGGCGGCGGCACCGGGACTATCAGGCCGACGAGTACCGGTAGCGCCGGTAGCCGCCGTTGTCGGGCTACTTTTTTCATTCCCTCCGCCGTTACCAGCCGTGTTCTCGCTGCCGCCACCACTGTTCGGAGTGTCGGTGGCGGCTGGTCCGTCACTGTCGGCTCCCTTGCGCGTGCTGCCAGTCAGAGAAGCGAGGCTCGTTGCCGACGCGGGCGTCGAAAAACTGAGCGTGCTGGAAACGGAGCTGAAGTAGCTCGAGGCGGCGGCGGCGGCGGTCGTGCTGACGCTCAAGACGCTGGTGGTCGACGTGCGGGCCGAGGTGACGACAGACGCCTCAATGACGGTAGAGTAGGTCCAGTAGTAGTAGTAATAGTACCAGGTCATGGTCCAGTAGTAGTACTGCGCGCGGGTTGTCGTGTAGGTTCTCGTGGTGGTGCGGCTTGTGGCATATGTGGTTCGGCCGTTTTCCACACGCGCTGTGCATCGTGAGTCGGTGCAGCAGACGGGCAGGTTTCCTTGGCTGGGTAGAGTGTAGCAATGGTTCCCGGGTTCGCAGTATCGTCCGTTCTTGCAGCATTCGGCGCCGGAGGGGATGCAGCGGTCGTTTCCGCAGCACTGTTCCCTCAGTTTACACGGTCCTTGGGGGCAGCATCGTGAGTCCGAGGGCAGACAGTAGCCATGGCCGCAGCATCTAGTAGATGTAGGGCAGCAGCGTCCAAAGGCTTGATGCATCAAGAAACAGAGTTGGTCAAACAGTCTCGCGGGATGGAGGGTTCGTCGTACCTGAACAGTACCAATAGCCTGCTTCGCAAGACTGTCTCTTGTTCAGAACATGCAGCACGCCGTCCGCAGACAGGGCAGCACTTCCAAACATGGGATCGGCAGAATCTCTTTGCCGTAAAGGATTCTTCAACGCGCCGAGCTGGGATGGTCCACCAACAGCATCAATGACCATCTCCTCGACCTCAAACTCCTCCACACGGCCCTCGAGGCTGCCGTCATAGTTGAGAATGAGTTCGCCAGTCGCCAACGAGGCAAGGAAAACCTTAGTGAGGAGCATCTTTAGATATTATGTGCAGATCAGTGAGGCTATACAAGCCAGTTAACAAGATTCTTGTCAACAAAATACAGGAGGAGCTGGCACACACACAAGCTCCTAGTAATGGAATAGAAAGACGGCTCTGTGCGTCGACCTAGGGATAATGCTCACTACTTATCTGATTCCTTCAAGATCATCGCTTCACCCCTGCGGTTGTGGCATATTCCACAGCCGCACCCTTGCAGGCTGGAAATAATGGCATCTTCAACCTAGCCATCAGCCCTGTCTTGACTGGCGCCACCGGGACGTGGTAGGAGAGTCCGTTCGACTGATATGTAAGCTGCGGAGTAGATTTTCCCCGTTTCTGCTGAGAAGATGGCGTTCACGACTGTATTCGAGGGCAGGCCTAAGTAGTGAAGCCCAGGTTTAGAGGACAAACTAAGACTTCAGCTGCCAAGCACCGACCTCTTTTGGCGTCGAGGGTGGATATCTCGCCGCAGCCGCATTGTGGTGTCTGCCCAGTAGGCTTTTTGCTCGAGTGTAGGCACGCATCAAGAACCACGGGGAAGGTGCAAACGTTGTCCTCTTTCCAACAACTTCACGGTGTGAGAATTCATGCCCTTCCATGAGCTAGTTGGTCATGAGTATTTCTTTATAGCTAAGCTACGCGATAAGAATTCGTTACCGAGCTATACACACAGTTGGCTGCGAAGCATATTTGCCAAAAACAATTTCAAACTGGCAGTCCTTTATGCCCCAGACTGCTGAATCAGGGGGGGGATTCGACATTGGTCAGTGTCGGTTCCCAGCACGAGATACAGCTCACCCGACGAGTCACTGGTCATGAATACTCTCTTCCCTTCTCTGTCAAACGCCAATCCAACAGGTCGGAAGCACTGCCCAGGGCATACCGAATTGTCCTTGTTCCACATCAGTTCCTGCTCAGCCGTGGGGCTGCTCTTGTCGGCTTTGGGGTATCCTTCAGAAAAAGCTACACGGCTAAGGCGGTAGCCATTCGGAGGCTTGCGGTTCCTGCAATACAATACATTACCTGTCTGTCAGCAATCCACTCTGTCGTCCATGTCATGGTTTCAGTAACTTGTTCCATTAGACTCACCAGCTTCCGTGGAACGAAATCAAGGCCGCCGAGCCTTGGAAATTGAACTTGATGTCCAGCGGCGCGAGGTGGGATCCAAAGGTAATATAAGGAGACACGGTATCCTCCTGGCACCACTGATCTGTATAATTGTTGGGCATTTGATCTCCCACCATTTGAAGACCAATCTTGGCTCCTCCTGGGTAGCCGTTGACATTCGAGGTATCAAAGATAGCCACGCAGGATGGATAGCCAAAGTTCTTGCCATAAACATCACTGGTGGTGTCATTAGGCAGCCCATGGAAATTGAGCTCTTCGCCGGGGTTCGAGTTATGAACATCAACGCCATTCCGCTGCATATCATCGATGGAATTTTCGACAGACCACTAGGACCGATTTAGCATTTCCCTGTAGATATTTGGGGTCCAGAGTTCGTCACTTACAACATATCCCGTCACGGGATCTTCAGCGACACCCACGCTGTTTCTAAGCCCCCATCCGAGCACCTCTCCGTCGGAATACCTGACAGGGCTATCGATCTTGAGAAGCTGGTCAATCTTGAAAATGCGGATCTGGCTTTTGGCCGACCCAATTTCCACCGTATCTTTATCAATATTCCCATCAGATCCTCTGGAGACGAGCAGCAGATTTGAGTTGTGCTTTGGAATCAAGAGAGTTCGTGTAGCATGGCCGCCTTGATCCATGCCAGTTATAATATTCTTGGCGTTTCCCACCGTTCCTTTCTCAGCATCGTAATCATAGGCATAAACATCAGTGGACGATGAAACGAAGAGCGTTTTGCCATCAGATGAGAGCTCAATGCCATGATTCAGCTTAGCACACATGGGTTAGCCTCTCTCTCTTTTTTACCATGATTTTCAACCAGCGGGAAGATTGCCAGCACTCACAGTCTTGTCGTCAACAAGGGACGAGCTCTTCGTGACACAAGTGTCCAATCCCTTCCCATCATCCAACTCGATGCGTCTAACGCCCTTGGCCCCGGCCTCAACCACCAACAGATTCCCTTTGGGATCAGCAATGACACCCCGCGGCTTACTCAGATCATTCGCCAGGACCTTGAACGTGACGCCCGGCGCCGTCTGCGGATCCGACGTTGGCTGGATGGACTGACATTGCGCAGCAAGTGTCAACCCCGTATACAGCGCCGCGAGGAACAAATACAACGGAGCCATGGTTGCAAGCAGCTCTAATCCACACGCCAAATGTGAAAGCGCGCTGCGAACCGCAAACCAAAAGGGGCCAAAATCTACAACCACCGTGGCATGAATGGGTATTTATCCTCGGTAGGCCTCGAGACAGTAAGTCCTTCTTTTCATGCACTATCAGTTGCCCTTAGTCATTCGTTGGAAGGAGGCATCCATGTCCCCTCCTTCCCACCCGACCATTCCTGCAAGCCACCAAGCAAAATCGTCGTCATCGCTAGCTTGCCACTCCTGCTATCCCACCCGGCGCCCACGAGGGAAGAAGGTGTTTGTGGTGCGTGCCAGGGCGCCAATGATCTTCGAACCGGCCACACTTGATGCTTGACCAAAAGCCGTAGGTGGTAGTGATGCTAAGCCGCTGATCCTGGCGACTGTGGTCCAATGGGGAAAACTCTCTGCAGGACGGGGTTTCGTCATCCCAAGCATTGGCACTACTTAGTCCGAGGGTCAATGTGCAACGTGCTTTCAAGGACGTGGAATTCTACTCCCGGAAGCGAGAGAGTCGGTCATGGACGGAAAGGCGCCGTGTGAGAAGCTTAACTTCCAAGCTTAAAAGCCGTGTCACCGAAGTGCGGAGCATCATTGAAATATCTGGTCCTACACTCTTCGACCATCTGTACAAGTGAGCATGATAACTTAGCCAGCTACCTTCCCATTGCACATGTACTACCTTCTAGGTAGCTGCATGACGCAAGAGTATGATTCGACACCCCGCACAATGCACATCAAATGAGAACCACGCTTAAAACAGTAGAGAGACAAGGTCCAATGTAGCATAAAATGCTACCATCCAATCCTACGCGGCCAAGACATTAGTTGCTCACATGTCTACAACTTATCGACTTTGTCCCGCATATTTCAAGGCTCGTCGTTACATTCCAGTCTGCTATTCTGATACGCAGTAAAAACCGCCATTCCGGTGCCCAAAAATGTCCAAGATGCTCATCTAGCTGCTTCCTGGTAGACAAACTCAATAATTTACCTGCACTAATCACAGAGTCTCGTTCGTAAACCACATCCAATTCAAACATGCCGAAAAGAGAGGCTTCCTCCACATGCAAAAATCCATCATCAATAAGTGTCACAATCGCTTCGTTCGTTACACGTAGTCGCACACAAAACAAAGAGAAAAAAGAAAAAGGAAAATGTTGGTGATGATGAATACGGTCGGTTTTTTGGGCGTCATATGATGCTTCGCGGCGAATCCAGTCTAAGGGCTTTAAGGTGTTCTCAGAAAAATGAAAATGATGTATGGTCTATGTCGGGCATGATACAGCGTAACTAGACGCATAGGAGACAAAAAGGAGGATTCGAGTCCATCCTAGGCTTTGGACAGCGATGGTTGTATCGAGATAACAATGCTTCAATCAGGTCGTGATATGCCGAGTTGGCAATTACCAAAAATGTGTCATAGTGTTACACGGGCATCAAGTCTTTATCTGCATCTTTTGCGGAATAGGAGGCAATGCCCGGGTTGGTGGAGGAGCTGGTGGAGGGCCACTGACAGCTATTTGTGGCATACTCCTGCGATTCATAGGTGAGGTTCTTGGGGTCTTCTCGACATTAAGATAATGGCCGCTTGTTGGCTGGGACTCTGATGTGATAGTAGCAGACGAATCAGACGAGTGGTGACTCGACACTGTCGAGTCGTGAACTTCGTATGAGCGCGACGACCGCTCGGAAAACACGGAGCACATACTAGCTCTCTTTGCAGCACGAGAGGGTTCTAACGACTGGCTTCTTATCATGTCGCCGGTGCTCTCACCTATATCCAAGAACGAAGTTCGATGCCCTCGTGGCGGTCCGTCGATGACTGGGGGGCCAGTTGGCACCACCATAGACGCAATATGGGGTCGTCTATTTACCACCACCGAAGGCGGCTCTGGCGATGGTATCCCCTGTCGGAGAGCACCGGTACTGGATTGTTTGCGAGGACTGAGACGCCAGGATGATCTCTCTGGTATAGAATCCGGTACGTGAGAAGCTTGAGACACTTGGTCATCGCCACGCCTACCAGCTCGACCCCGAGAGACTGATCGCAGTCGCTGTTGCCCAACGTCCATCGTCGGCAACGTTGGTAGCGGGGGGGACTTCGGAGAGGTCGGTAGCCGCTCTGTGGCTATGGCTCGTGACACGCCCTGATCAATCACGACGGACAGGCGATGTGCTGACTGCATCGCTGTCGGCAGCGTTCGGCCAAATCTTCGAGGTGATGTGTCACGATCTCGTCTACGGCTAGGAGAGCCGTCCGTGCTACTCGTCGCGCCCCTTGCATACGAAAAACGGCGAGTAGATGAGCGCGGCACACTGAAGTTGGGGGTAGGCTTGACACCGAGGGGCGAAGTCACCCGGTCAGGGTGCACGTCAGTAACACCAGTAGGCAAAGAGCGCATCTTTCCTTTGGGGGCCAGACCATCGTCAATGAAGGGGGCGGTGGCTTGCACCGACTCTCTTCTCGTGACAATTTCCGACGCATTCGGCCTCGTCCTGACTTCTCCCCTACCAGAAGATTCATGGTGGCCAAAGATTCCCTCATCGAATTTATCGTGTGTAGGGGATCCGTCTGGCGAGGAAACAGTCGATGTGACGAAAGTACGTTGCCCACAGGAGACGAAAGATAGACGATTTGAAGTTTCCCGAAGGCTTTCTAGCTGGCGTTCATCTTGCGACATCATGCTGTTTGTCGTAGAAATATCATCCAG